TTTATTACTTTTATTATCTTTTCTTGATCTTTACTCTTCTATAACTCTCTTATATTATTATTATATTTTTAAATATTACAATTTTTATAGAAATTGGCAAAGAACTTAGATATTCCTCTTTTCTTTTTAATATTTTGTTTATTTTTAATCCCCTCTTCCAATACAGGTTCAAGTTTGTAAGCTAATTTAATGATTAGTAAATAAATTTATAACAAGAAATTATAATATTCATGTCTACTTTAGTATTTAAACTATTATAGTCATCTATAAATAAATATTTAATTCTATAAATAAAGTTATAATCCAAATTTAGAACTACAAATTAGTATATAATATAATATATTAATCTTAAACCAAACTCAAACCAGACTTGAACTTGCATAATGATCTGGTTCAAGTTCAGTTTGAATCTTGAACTCAAGCCAAAGTCTGATTTGAATTCAGTTTGAATTTTGAACCAGACTCAAACTCAAATAAAAGTTCAGTTAATAGAAATACTTTTGAGTCAGAGGTACTGCATAAATTACCTTTTAGTAAATCCAATAATGTGATTCACAGTGAAATTTCATTACTGAATTCACAGCATTAAAGTTGAATAAATATTTAAATTTCTACAGACTATTTTAAAGTTGAAGCATCGTTATTATAATAACCTTGTACATGTAATACCTGCCGAAACTCGAAAGTCTATAGCCTTATTATACCAAAAGCGATTATACAGCACAATACGATATTCAATAATAGTGATAAATATTTTATGGTTTTTTATTAATGTTAATGAAAAGACGTATAATGAAACAGCTTTTGATATGCCGTAAAATGCTCTGTATAGTATTTCTTTTTGTAGAAAATTGGAACCACAATTTAGTCCAAATTTTTTTTAGTATTTTTTCCGCTAATAATTAAATGTAGATTTAACTGATTTTTTAAAAAAAATTTGTTACTGATTTAATAACCTTGAGGTTAATTGAGGTTTAAATTTTCTACAAAGGAGATAATATACGTACAGAGCGCTTTACGCTACGTACATGTAGATGTACGTATTTGTAATACATGTAACATGAACAGGTGATGCACAGTAACGATAATTCTGTGACACGTACCGGTACGTACTAAAAGTCTAAAAAGGGCAAAAATATAATACATGTATCTCTCATATTGCACATGTGTAACGATTTCTGGAAGCAAATACGTATACGTATGTATTCGAAAACGCCAATTGATTGTTGACTTTATTATTGAAAATGAGTAAAACTATCTCAAAGACATTTTTCTCTAATATCAACATAAACGATGACGATTCAATTATCAATGAAATATTTAGTATTTTTGATAAAATGATTAATTCCTCGCAAGATTTAAATGAAACTGCCAATAAAATGCGAATAATTCTTGAAATATTTACAGAAAGTGCGTTTGAACGTAAAAAATTCTTGCGCAAATTAGAGTCAAATATTTCATATAGAGTCTTATATGGTTTTTTGCATCATTTTGGTATAAAAATTGAACAGAATTTTGAAATAGCTTTTGAATTTTATAAAGAATCAGCAAAGAAACATAATGCGATTGCACAATATTTACTCGGATTTTGTTACTATAATGGAGTTGGTACACTTAACGATAAAAACAAGGCCTTTGAGTGTTATTTGAAGTCTGCAGAAGGGGAAAATGCTAGAGGACAGTATAATCTTGGTTTCTGTTATCGAAATGGTATTGGGACGCAAAGAAATGAAAAAAAAGCTTTTGAATGGTATTTGAAATCAGCAGAGGGGGGAGATGCTAAAGGACAATACAGACTTGGCTTTTGTTACCAAAATGGTATTGGGACGCAAAAAGATAAAAAAAAAGCATTTGAGTGGTATTTAAGATCTTCTGAATCTGAGGTTAAATACGCTCGATTCAAATTGGCTAGATGCTATCAACACGGCTTTGGAGTTTCGAAAGATCTATTTATAGCGTTGAAATTGTGCAAAAAAGCTTACCAAAATGGTCACTATCTAGTGAGGGAATATGTTAAAAAAAAAATTTTTATTTTATGATTTTTTTCTAGATAATTTCATGTGAATTTTAATTTTAATTTTTTCTAAATAACATTACGTAGTTTGCGTAGAGTTGTACATCTGATATAATTACGGATAGCATGAGGTGTCCTCTTTACAATCATAGTTATAATGTTTAATTTTTATTTGTTTGAAGCCATTTTGTGATTTATATGAATATATAGATTGTATATTTTATATACGTTGTATTTTAGATATGTGTAGGGTTATAGACAAGGATGCTTGCTGAAATCCCTTAGTAACCGAAATTCTGCCGCAATTTTAATTAACAATTAGTGTGTAACTCTGCCGATATATTTCTGGCGTGGATTTCGGCAGGCATCCTTCTAGAAAATTTATATTCTACTCAATTGCTATACTAATAATTTACGGCAATTTCGCAAACTTAAATGGAACAGAGATTCGTTATTATTATGGCCAACTTAGAAAAGGGTTGGTTCACTAGAGTTTTTTTTGAGTGAATCTAAAGGAATTCCAAATCTCTAGTGGTTTTATTGGTGTTCATATTGCTTCCTCCTAAACTCAAAGAATTATTGGAAATCTACCAGGAAACTAGGAAATTTGGAATTCCTCTAGAGCTTCATCGGAAAACAACCCTTTTTTTATCTGTGAACTGAAAACTATTATTTTTTGTTATATATTCTAATATACTTAAAAAGAAATGAATTCAACTCAAAATATAGTTAGGAACTATTTTTGACTACCGTCAAGATCAAGCTTCTGGACTATCAAATTAAAAGGAAAACAGTTACTATTTTCTTTTTATATTTACTTATTTTATTGGAAGTGATTTTGTAGGATACTCGATATATCTTGATTTCTGATGTACAGTACCTATCGCCCAATGCACGATTAAAAATAAAATTGTGATTATTATCCAACCCACCCGACCCCCACACCAAACAAAAAATAAAATTTATTTAATATTTAATCAGCCCTCCGTTTGGCTCCAATATCGCATTAATCCTTCGTGGCATTGATGCAGTAACCCCGTTCTAAAATGGCCATATCAATTTTTTCTCACTCCACTTTAATGTGACCTTAAGTTCATCCAGTCTTCGGAAGATCTCACTTTTTTGAATATTGTCATTTAATATCTCCCAAATGTTCTCTATTGGGTTCAGGTCTGGAGAATTAGCTGGCCAATTAATAATCGTGATTTTATTTTCCCTTAATTTTCCTGCAGTATGAATCGGCGCATTGACTTGTTGAAAAATTGCGTACCTTCCAGTTGACTCCTTGATTGCGTTCTGGAATGATAATAAATGAGTTTTTTAAGATTCAAGGTAAGTATTTGCAGTATTTTTTCGCCATTTTTTTTATATTCATCACAAAAAAATTAATGGTTCTTTTAACTTTCCCGCAAAACATCCTCAAGCCATTACAGATTTTGTCCACTTTTAAAGGTAGGAGCCAAGTAATTTAAACTTTTCTCCAAGATGTCGCCAAACTCTTGGCTGCTGTGACTGCTTTCCAACTTCAACACTGGTTTCATCAGAGAAAATTATTTTCGTCCAATCATAAACTAATTTATTTTTATTTTCTTCACACAATTTAATACGAGCATGTGCATGTGTTTATTAGTGAAAATCTAATTAATTGAGACAAATTCTTTGATATGGTATCTTAGAATTCACGTGTATGCACACAATACAATCAAAAAGATTAAGTGAAAAAAATCGTGTTATAGAATATGTATTGATGACAATTTGGATCAAATTTATTATTCGCTCATAGGGAAAAGTAAATTACAAAGTTATGGAATCATGGTGATTAACAGAAAATATAATGACCACTCACAATTGCATTCTTAACCATTAATAAATTCTTTAATCTTTTTTCCTTTTCTTTGGTTGCTTTGGTGATGTTTTCTTGGTCTTCATATTATCTGACAGCACACATTTTGGGGAGTTTTGACTTTATCATCATTGTTAGAAATAGTATCAAATTCCCAGATCAAAGAATTAGCCATGCCCTATATTTGTAACAATAATGTTATATTCTGATAAAAAATCAAAACTCATCTGAATGTTCCATGCCACTCTTAATGCACCTTTCAGATTGTGATAAACTGAGCATGTGGGCGGGAGGTTAAAAGATTTTGAATAATGTAAGAATTATATCTCACGTTTTCCATTAGATATACTTGAACCTCTGTCATATATGACTGAGCAAATACAAGCAAAACATAAGTACAACAGTTCTTCATAAGAATAATTATCGCACCTGGATTCCAAGGATATAAGGTTGTAATCCAACCTTTCCAGCATAAAGAAACTTTAATTCTAGGTCATCGAGCATGTCTTTCATAGTACTTTGCAGGTTGAACTCATCCACGACGAGCTTAATTAAATCGTAGACATAAGATCCACCACATGCCAGTGCATAGACAATTTCATACTACTCGCAGTTGCATAAGAGATCCACCACCTGGTGACTTCATTCAACCTGTTCGTTGAGAATATCCTTTTCATGATTATAATGGCATTGGGTCGCCAGGATAGGAATTTTTCTCCTTAACAATATTGAGACAAGGAAAATTTATTATCTTATATACACAATAAATGGAGAGGTTTGCAACTTACCATGGGACATAACAATTGCCATCTAATTTTAGAACGCCTTGTAATAAAGGAATAATATAGTCACCATTTCATCTCGTTCATGACAATCATCCTGCAACGGATTTCAAAAGGACTCAAACGTATCCAGACTATAATGATAAATAAAATCTCCCAGTTAATCACGTCATAATAAAAATTTGTCATATTGCACAATAATAATGAAAAATCCCATAACATACAATTGTCCTGTCAGCCACTCAATCCAACGTCAGATTTTCTCTCAGTCATTCTCTGCATATCAGAACTCATTGCTATATTTAGGAGCAGCAAAATTTCGGAGTTCATACTATTTTTTGCGAGCCTGTAATAGATCCGTCTAAAAATCCAAGATGTCACTATGGGCCAAAGTTTCACTTCCAAACCCACACATCCATACTTTTTTGCCAGAAATTCCAAAAAAGTGGGCGATGAAGTGTTCGATTTCGTGATGGTAAGTCTTTTGGACTTCATCAGGTCTTCTTTTCACCAAATCGATCCACTGCTCAGGACTAAACTCACTTTGATTTTTGATGATGACGATAGATCCAGAATGAAACTTGGGCTGGACTGCAAAAAATCATAAACAGGAAGTAAGTAGTATTTAAAAGGCACCGTTGACCTACTACTACAACTTACTCAAATTCCGAGGTCATTGGTTTTGCGCAGTATTTTTGCATAATAGAGAATAAGAATGATGAATCATTTGATGTGAACAAGTCTCGACTCTCCGCATCATATTCGTCTTTATCTTCATCATCATCATCGTTACCTTCATTATTGTTACCCACATAATCGTTATCTTGCTTTTTAATTGATATAATTGTTATAAACTACATGAATATTCTACATATTTGCGTGGACAACCGCAAATTTAACCTACCCTCTAACTGTTCTTGTCGTTTTCACAACCCTTCTTCATTCAGTTCTATTGCCCTTTTGCTGACGATTGAGTTCAAATCCCTATGGACCTCCTTGTTTGTTTCATGGATCTCGTTGCGAATCAACCCTGTCAGATATAGATTATCATGGTTAGTCACGAACCTTGTTGAAAGTTTGTGATTGAACATACCACTCTTTTCTCCATCAACCACACGTCCCAGTCTAAATTACATTATTTAGTGAAGAAAACAGATGTTAGAAGTGCTGCTTTCCCGACATGTTTGAAAGCAGAACTTATTCGATTACGTACATTAACAATTTCTTTGATGTTTTTTAGTTTCGACTGTTTGTCCGGATCCTTACAGAAGTTGATAGCCTGATCAAGAATTTTTCCATACTTATCGATCGTACAGGCTTTATGTATCAGTTGGATAAAGCGTAAGAATTCTATAGGAGTAGGGTTATTACACGAAATCATCAAATCTACGTGTCGTCGTTTCAGGGTTTTCATGCGTGAATCTTTTATACTAGTATCTCGACACATGGAAATTTTAACAAAAAGAGAGATGGATGCATTTTGTTTGATCAAAGTCAATTAATAATCGTTGAAGTATGCTGTTGTTTACGTGGGGGGGCTGAAAAGTTTTGCGCGCAGACGTTTATTTCCAAAACTGTAGTAATAATTATCAATACAACTACTTCATTCCTTCAAAGTACTCTCCATTAAGCTCTATACAACGTTCTAACCGATTTCGCCAACTCTGGAAAGAGTTCTCATAGTCCTCTTTTGGGATACCTTCAACAACTGCCTAAACAGCCATTGCCAAATTTTTGACCTTATCAAATCTCTTTCCCTTTAGTTCTTTTTTTATTCGAGGGAATAAGAAAAAATCACAAGGAGCAAGGTCCGGACTGTATGGTGGGTGGGGAAGAAGTTCTACTCGCTCGTTACGAAGATATTCTGTTATGATTCTTGCCTTATGTGCTGTGGCATTATCGTAATGAAGCATGACGTCACGAACAGTCATTCTACCCCCTTTTTCCATAAAGTTCGAAAAAACTTTTGGTAGTATCTCATTGGCATAAAGGTTAGCGTTAACTGTTTGTCCTTTTGGAACCACAAATCGTGTAATAACTCCGTCTACAGAAAAAAATATGCAAAACATTCTTTTTTTCGAATTTTGAGCTGTCTTCACTATTTGTGATCTATTCTCATCCTTTCCTAGCCATGACTTATTCACTTTCTTATTTGAAATAGTAAAGAAATATATCCATGTTTCATTATCAGTAACAATGTTTTTGTACCCCTTGTCTAAAATTTTTAATAGTTGCTTGGAAATTTCGACACGATTTTGTTTATATTCCTCTGAAAGCCTATGAAGAACCCATTTTGCACAGAGTTTGTGGAGATTCAGCTCTTCATGTAAAATGTAAGAAATTCTTTCACGGGAAATACTGACTTCGTTGGCTAATTCTTTGATAGAAATATATGGGTCATTGCTAACGAGATCCTTGATCCTGGCAATTTTTTCTGATGTCATTACTTTGCGAGGACGTTCAGAACGGGCCTTGTCTTTAATTTCTTCTTCCCATTTTTGAATATAGCAATCCAGCATCTAATTGTGCTGATAGAGAGTGCTTGTTCTCTTTCTACATTCACCAACTCTTCATGAATTTGAGTTGCATTTCTGCCATTTTTCTAAGAAGTGAAAATAAAGTATCGTTGGTTTTCACAGCTCATTTTCTTCCAGTTGTTTTACTATGCTTGACAAAAAAATTGGTTTTTCGATAATGAGATAATAAATTTGCTTCTACTTTTTTTTCATTTGTTACATGAAAGCATGCGCATTTGATCATTATTCCCAATTTTAGTTAAACTAATGCAATCTCGAGTTAGAGAGCCACACGCAAAACTTTTCAGCCCCCCATGTATTTTTACAATTACTTAAAATATTTAATTTATTTTTTAATTAATTCTATAATTTATTATAAAATATTTTTAAACTTTAAGTTTATTAATAAATAATTATAATTTTTTATAATATTAAAAAAGTAAAAATATCTATTATATAGTGGCAATTAGAAATAATATAATATTAAAATCTATTAATTAAATATAATAAAATATTGATTTTTCTCTTTATATAAAAGTTTTCAATTTTGCTAATAAATATTTTTTATTTTTATATTAAAATGAAAATAGTATCACATATTTTAACATATATTTTTTTAGATTTAATCTGATAAAGATATAAAGTCAATTATTTTATATATATATATTAACTATAAAAAAATAATTAACTTTATATGTAATTAGAACAGCTTTATCAGAGTAAATTTAAAAATCTGAAAAAAATATATATTAAAATGTAATATTATCTTTATTTTAGTGTAAAATAAAAAATATTTATTAGTAAAATTAAAAATTTTTATATTAAGAGAAATCTGTATTTTACTATATTTAATTAATAATTTTAACATTGTTATATTATTTTTAATTGTTATTATATAAAAATCTGAAAAAAATATATATTAAAATATAATATTATCTTTATTTTAGTGTAAAATAAAAAATATTTATTAGTAAAATTAAAAATTTTTATATTAAGAGAAATCTGTATTTTACTATATTTAATTAATAATTTTAACATTGTTATATTATTTTTAATTGTTATTATATAAAAATCTGAAAAAAATATATATTAAAATATAATATTATCTTTATTTTAGTGTAAAATAAAAAATATTTATTAGTAAAATTAAAAATTTTTATATTAAGAGAAATCTGTATTTTACTATATTTAATTAATAATTTTAACATTGTTATATTATTTTTAATTGTTATTATATAAAAATCTGAAAAAAATATATATTAAAATATAATATTATCTTTATTTTAGTGTAAAATAAAAAATATTTATTAGTAAAATTAAAAATTTTTATATTAAGAGAAATCT